CATCCCAATCAGCCGGATCGACTTCCCGACGGCGCTGGTCACTCTCCCAAGCAACAAGCGCCTCTGGAGTAGCGAAACCGTGCAATCTAGCAATCTGTTGGGGTGACAAGGTTGGAAGCTCAGCGATCGCTGAAGTCGGGAGCGGCACCTCCGTGGCCGCAACTGGCGCCTCAACAGCATCACTGTTTAGACCCACGTCCCCACCAGCACCACCCCCACCAGGCTCAAAGCCAAGCAAAGGACCCCAAACAGCCTTCATATCATCTGTCGGCCCGAACGGAGTGCCCACAGTGGCCTTCCCCAGGTTGTGACCTGGGAACAAACCACGTTTTAAACGCGACCTCTGGGTCTTATACCCCGTATGGCCTGATCCCTTGCAGTTTGCTTGAAGGCCTCCCCGCGCACTCTGATGCGCCGAGGCCCCACAGCACTTACAAAAAATTAAATCGTCGAGAGCTTCCCCATCTTCAGCCTGGACCGCGGCCTGGACGATGGAGTGGTTTCTAAGCACCCAGGGAACCCCAGAAACATGGAGGAAGTCCCTGGGTGCAGGATGAGGCGGAGGAGGCGGAGGCGGAGCGGGGGAGGACCCCGAAGCTCCCGCGGTGCTGGGGCGCCGTTCGAACGGCTGCACTCCTGCTTGCTCGCATGCCTCTAAAAGGGCCTCGGAGTATTCATCGTCGAATTGGATGGAGGAGGAGGAGGAGGAGGAGGAGGAGGAGGAGGAGGAGGAGGAGGAGGAGGAGGAGGAGGAGGAGGAAAGGGCCCAGTGTAAACCCAGAAGCCATCAACGATGTCGGAACAAACCCTCCCTCCAAGCTCCCTGGAAAACAATAGTTTGGAGGAGGAGGAGGAGGAGGAGGAGGAGGTGGAGGAGGTGGAGGAGGAGGAGGGGGAGAGCAGAGGAGATAGAGCCGGAGAGCGTCTTACATTGGGCTCTCTGAGACTTTCAGGTCGATCTTGGTCTCGGCGGAGCCCTCCTGGTTGATTTTGGCCTCTCGAGTCTGGGTCCCGCAGGGACCGATTGATATTGCGGGCGGCGCAGCCGCCGGGGGTCCGATCGCCCGGCGATCGGACTTTTCGGTCGCCGACTCGACTCAAGGTCTGAGTTCGAGCCACATTGTCCGCGGGCGTTATCAGGGGGGGGTTATTTTGGGGTCGGTGGCGTCACGTTTCGCGCCAGCGCCGTCTGGGAGTGTTCAGGAAGAACGAAAGATAGTTCGTACGTCAGCAAGAATCGCGACGTTACCTTGGGGGAGGTCGGCCTGTGCCCGTAACGGCCGCTATCGCTGGGAATAAACCAGGAAATCTGACGCCTTGCTCGTCTCTCAACTAATAGACACTACCCAATACCTTTGGCCAGAGCCCAGCGCCAATCCTCAGGAGGTATTCTTGAGTGGTGCTGGTGGGGGCCCGCCCAGTTACACTCACTCTTACGACTGCGGGCTTGGGCTGAAGCACAGTACCCAGATTTCCAGCAACACCGTATTTCAATCGCCGCACAGAAGACACTTGAGGAGGAAGTGAGGAGGAGGAGGAGGTGGAGGAGGAGGAGGAGGAGGAGGTGGAGGAGGAGGAGGAGGGGGAGGCTGAGGAGGAGAATGAGGAGGAGAATGAGGAGGAGGAGGAGGATGCTGAAGGGAGGAGGAAGGGGGGAGGGAGTGAGGAGGGATGAGATGATGATGCTGATGCTGATGATGGTAACAGTGATGCTGGTGATGATGCTGCTGCTGATGATGCTGATGCTGATGCTGATGCTGATGCTGATGATCATGATGATGCTGATGATACTGATGATGACAATGAGGATGAATATGATGAGGAGGAGGATATGGATGATGATGAGGATGAGGAATATAATGATGACGATACTGATGACACTGATGCTGATGATGAGAATGATGCTGACGCTGATGATACTGATGGCGATACTGACGATGATGATGATGATGATGATGATGATGATGACGATGATGATGATTATGATGATGATGATGAAGATGAGGATGATGATGAAGATGATGAGGATAAGGAAGATGATGATACTGATGATGAATATGAGGATGATAATGATAATGATGATGATGACGATGGTAATGATGATGCTGATGATGCTGATCATGGTGAATGCTGATGATGAGGATGATGATGATGATGATGAGGATAAGGATGATGATGGTGATGAGGGTGATGCTGATGATGCTGTTGATGCTGCTGATGATGATGATGATGAGGATGATGCTGATGCTGATGCTGATGCTGCTGCTGATGCTGCTGCTGCTGATGCTGATTATGACAATGCTGTCACTGATGAAGATGATGATGGTGATGATGATATTGATGCTAATGATGAGGATGCGGATGATGATGATGATGATGATGATGATGATGATGATGCTGATGATGCTGATGATGCTGATGATGATGATGATGATGATGCTGATGCTGATGCTGATGCTGATGCTGATGCTGATGATGACGATGCTGATGATGGTGATGATGAGGCTGAGGCTGAGGATGCAGATGATGATGATGATGCTGATGCTGCTGATGATGATGATGATGATGCTTGGGATGCTGATGATGACGATTATGATGCTGATGACGATGGTGATGCTGATGATGAGGATGCTGATTCTGATGATGATGCTGAGGTTGATGATGCTGATGGTGATGATGACGATCAGATGATGATGATACATATGATGCTGATGATGATACTGAGGATGAGGAATAGAAGGAGGATCTGGATGAGGATGAGGATGAGGATGATTATGATGATGCTGATGATGATGAGTTTTATACTGATGCTGATGATGATAATGGTGCTGACGATGCTGATACTGATGATGATGCTGATGAGGATGATGGTGATGCTACTGTTGATGCTGATGATGAGGATAATGATGATGATTCTGATGCTGATGATAATGATGATGTTGAGGATGATTGTGATGACGATGATGATGAACATGATGAGGATGAGGATGTTGATGTTGATGGGGATGAAGATGATGATGCTGCTGATACTGATTATGATGATGATGATGCTGATGATGATGATGCTGCAGCTGATGATGATGATGATGACGATGATGATGATGCTGCTGATGATGATGATGCTGATGCTGATGCTGCTGATGATGATGATGATGCTGATGATGATGATAATGATGATGCTGCTGCTGCTTCTGCTGCTGCTGATGATGCTGATGCTGCTGCTGATGATGACGATGATGAGGATGATGATGATGATGACGACGATGATGACGACGACGACGATGATGATGATGATGATGATGATGATGATGATGATGATGATGATGATGATGATGATGATGATGATGATGATGATGATGATGATGATGATGATGATGATGCTGATGATGATGATGATGATGATGATGATGATGATGATGATGATGATGATGATGAGGAGGAGGAGGGGGGGAGGGGGGAGGGGAGGAGGAGCAGGATGATGATGCTGTTGCTGATATGTGTGATGAGATGATGATGATGATGATGATGACGATGATGATGATGATGATGATGATGATGATGATGATGATGATGATGATGATGATGATGATGATGATGATGCGGATGATGATGCTGATGCTGATGCTGATGCTGATGCTGATGCTTCTGCTGCTGCTGCTGATGATGATGCGGATGATGATGCTGATGCTGATGCTGATGCTGATGCTTCTGCTGCTGCTGCTGCTGCTGATGATGATGATGATGATGATGATGATGCTGCTGATGATGCTGATGATGATGATGATGATGATGATGATGAGGAGGAGGAGGAGGAGGAGGAGGTGGAAGCGGATGCGGAGGCGGAGGCGGCGGAGGCGGCGGAGGCGACGGAGGGGGCTGAGGAGGAGGAGGAGGAGGAGGAGGAGGAGGAGGAGGAGGAGGAGGAGGAGGAGGAGGAGGAGGAGAAGAAGGAGGGAGGAGGAGGAGGAGGAGGAGGAGGAGGAGGAGTTGAGGAGAGGAGGAGGAGGAGGAGGAGGAGGAGGTGCGAGGAGGAGAAGGAGGGCGGGGGGGAGGGGGGGGAGGGGGAGGGGGGAGGAGGAGTAGGGAGAGGAGGAAGGGGATAAGGGAACATGAGCACGAGGAAGGGCGGAGGCTAGGGGTCGGTCCCTCTGGCCATGCCTGTCCGCGACGGCCAGCCACACTGGGCAGTAGGAAGGAACGGGTTTCGTGTGGAGGTGTTCGGACGTTCTCGGGCTTCCATTTCGGGCTGCGCTTCTTTCAACGCGGACGTCTAATTGCGGGGGTTGATGGAGGTATCCTTGATCCGACAAGCCCAGATGTTCGATGCTTTGGTTTGTTTAGCACGGGGTCCCCCGAAATTCCGATCTTTTCCCCGGGGCCAGCTTTTCATCCTGACTTTTGAGTCTTTTTTTGACGGTCTTGCGGCTCATCGAGGGCTTCCAGAGGCAGAACATGCTGATCAGATGCCCGTTTGTTTTTGTCCAAGACGTTTCAGGTCTGGAAGGGTTCTGCATCCTCACGTTGTAACCTTCGGTTGTGTCGAGCCTGCGACCCTGCCCCGCCGCTTCGGGCACGACACTGGTGCTGCATCCGACAACATCGTCGTCGTCGTCGTCGTCGCCGCCCGCTGTCGTCGCCGTCGTCGCTGTAGTCGTTGCCTGTCGTCGTCGTCGTCGTCGCCCGCCTTCGTCGCTGTCGGCGCTGTCGTCGTTGTCTGTCGTCGTCGTCGTCGTTGTCGTCGTCACCCCGTGGTCATCATTGCCGTCGCCACCGTTCGCTGTCGTTGCTGTCGTCGCTGTTGGCGTTGCCTGTCGTCGTCGTCGCCGTCGTCGTCATCGCCGCCGTTGTCGTCGTCGTCGTCGTGCTCGTCATCGTCGTCATCGTCGTCGTCGTCGTCGTCGTGGTCACCGCCGCCGTCGTTGTCGTCGTCGATGTTGTCGTCGTGAAGGCCGCCGCCGGGCCAGCGCGCGCTGCCGCTGTGGGCCGTGACGCTGCTCGCCATGGGCATCGGCGCCGCCAGCCGCTGCCGGTACCCGCCGGGGGGGGGTGCAGGGCACGGGTCAAGTTCGGGGGGATGGGGTCAGGGGGGGGATGTATCGACCTCGAATTGTCCATTCATCTCCGATAGGGGTCCGATAGCTCGCCCCGCCCAGAGACGCTCGGATCCGCCATCGGGGGCCTACCGCCGATCCATCCGCGATCCATCGCCGATTTCAGGATGATGCTTTGCCTCCCTGGGCCAACCCCCTCCCTTATCGTTCCCCCTCATAGGAGAAACCTCACACACCCAGAGACCCCCAAAGGATCGGCGGACTGTGGAGGCGTCGTGGCGGTCGGCTTCACGGGGGCTTCTTGCGGACCTCTCTTGGAGCCCTCTTGGTCCGTCTGGGAGCGTGCTGGCTCACTCTGTGGGCTCTTCTTGGCCGTCTTCCGTCCAGTAGGAGGAGGAGGAGGAGGAGGACGAGGAGGGGGAGGACGAGGAGGAGGAGGAGGAGGAGGAGGAGGAGGAGGGAGGAGGAGGAGGAGGAGGAGGGAGGGAGGTCTCTCGAGGGGGAGGTGATTACGACTGCTACCAGCAAAACGGGGGAGGGGGAAATTACATACAAAACTGGAGTTTTGTACGGAATTTCCCCTCCCGTTGCTTCGACATGCTCCCGGGGGTCTCCGTTCCTGCTTCTCGGTCCTGGGCCCCGTGCTCAGTCGCTCGAGGGGGGGCACTGCAGTTGTGGCGGCACCTCTCATACTTGGCTCCCGGGCCATTCGAGAAGCACTTCGGTGAGCAGTAAGAGTGAGATCAACACCACGCGATGTCAGACTACGACCGCTACCAGCAGCATCACCCCGAGGGGCACGTCGGCGAGCAGTACGACTGAGAGCAGCACAGCGAGAGTTCCGTCTACGACTGCTACCAGCCACGCCCAGCCACGCAGCATCTGCGCAATCAGCAGTGGTACCGCGCGGACCAACACTACGGAGACTCGCAGCGCCAGCGCTACCAGCACCAGTGGGACCATCTGCATTACCCTGAGAAGGCTCGTCGATGATTACAACGAGGATGCGTCAGACGGCGACGCCACGCTCGGGTTGCTGATGTAAGCCCCCCAGGGCAGTCGAGATCGAGGCGGGGCCATCGGGGACGCGCACGTGCAGTGCCGAGTTGTTCTACCTGCACCATCAGAGGTCGTGCGCCGCGTCATCGAACGGGGCGCAATCCAGTGGGGCGACAGGTACGTCGCCTCTTCCAGCCACGGCCCCCATGCTGGGCTCCATGGGGCCACGATTGGATGTTGCCTTAGACGTCGTGTTCGTGACCACTCGCCTGCAGTGCAACGTGCTCCTGAGCTTGCTCCTGCTCTGCGTCGACGGGCCCGGCGTCTGGGCCCCCGCTGGGGTGGCCCTCCTGCTCCGACCTTGCCTGGCCCGCCGCGTCTCGACGCTCCAGATCTGCGCCCTGGTCTCGGGCAACCCCGTGCCCTGGATGTCGGCACAGGCTGTCCTCCTTAGAAGCTGGCGCGGGCCCATCGGGGTCGCCGCTCTCGGGGCGTACGCGTGCGACGTGCACGTCCAGCCTCCCTGGTGCAAGATCGGGAGCACTTGCGCGGTCGCCGCAGGAGTCTCTGAGTGGGGCACGTGTGGTGCGGCAGAATGGGCGGCCGTCACAGTTGGCACGGCGTGGTGGCATCCAGCTTTCCCAGACGCCGCGCCGCCACCCCCGCCGAGCAGAGCGCTCTTCCGCGGCCACAGCCGCACGCGGAGCCCAGACCCCAGAGGGGGCGAGACTTGCGCGCGACCGCATGGGCCGTCAGTGTCATGCCGAGTAGGCGCGGCGCCCTCTGCCGTGCCCCGGCCTGCAGGGAACCCATCTCCAAGGGGGATCTGCAGGCGTACAACCCTGGTCTGGCCAATCCGCTCTACTACCACCCCGCTTGCGTGGAAGGCGGCTTAGGGCTCTACGACGAGGTTCAGGGAACGGAGGCCCTGCCGCCAGAACTTCGGGACGTCGTTCGGGGCCACTGCGACCGCCCTGGTCGACCCACTCGGGCAGAGTACGTCGCAGACCATGGCAGGGCCAAGCGTGCGAGGACGGACCTGGCCACCGCTCGCCAAGCTGCCGCGCTAGGCGTGCCTTCGCTGGATGAGGACGACGGGGCGCTCGGCCCCGTGCCAGAGGACCCTGCCAGCGGCAGGCCAGCCCAACACGCCAACTTGGAATGGTGGGATGCTGTGGATTACGGCGCGATGGAGCAGTACTTCCCGCCATCCTCCAAGTGCCGACGGACGTCAGCGCAGCCATCGCGCAGCTCCGCGGACACGTGGCCGAACAGCTCTTGGCCGCGCGGGCTGCCGGCGACGCGGCCGCCCAGGCCAGGGCGGAGAAGGCGTTTACGTTTTTCGACAGGGTGTTGCTTTCAAGCCAGGGAAAACCCGCGGGGGTCAGAAGGCGCACAACTCTGGTGGCATGGCCCAGGTGCTGACACGATGCATGCGGATGGCCGAGCAAGGAGATTGGGGAGGGCTCTGGCGCGAGCCTACCACGGCAACCACGACCCGCGGGCCAAGCAGCGGAGGGGGCGCCCCAACGGCCAAGCAGGACGCGCGAGCGGTAGAGTCGTTGCTCGACGATAACCTCATTAGCAAGGCAATGCAGCGAGCCCTTCGCCCAAGCGCCTTGGCCTCTAGGCCCGTCGTCCAGGCCGGCCTTCAGAGCCTCTTTCTGGAGGGGCCAGAGCAGCACTTCTTGGAAGCGCCGGCAGCGCCTGACGGCGAAGTTCGCGCAGCCCTGGCCGGGGCCGCGGCCAAAAGCCTGGCAAAGAGCCCGCGCCGCTCTGGGCCAGGGCCCAACGGCAGCAGGTTCGAGCGCTGGCGCACGCTGTTGGCCGACGCCGCCGCCTCGGAAGCAGTCGCAAAGGTGGCCGTCGCCATCCTGCTCGGCGAGCTCAGTCCAGAGGCCACGCGCGCCAACCTGGGAGCCCGTCTGATGGCCCAGCGCAAGCGGAACGGGGCCCTCCGGCCGATTGCTAGCGGCTCCGTCATCCGCCGTCTCGCTGCGAGGGCCGCCTGTGGCGTTTACAAAGACGACATACAGGGCGCAGTCGGTCCACGCCAGTATGCACTTGGACGTGCTGCGGGGTACGAGCTCGTGCACGAGTGTCTCGCCGCTCTCTCGGAGGCATGCCCACAGGTTGCCGCCTTGGCGTTCGACTGCTCCAACGCCTTCAACAGCATCCCTCGAAACGCGTTGCTGGACAGCGTGCGTCGGCGTGCTTCGCGTTTGTTCCAGAGCACCAGCCACTGGCTCACGGGAACCACGCAGCACTACTGGTGGGGCGACCCCGCCGACCACGCCCGCGTCGTCCGAGCAAGCGGCGGCGTGGACCAGGGGTGTCCGCTCTCGCCGGCGCTCCTTGCAATTGGCGTTGCAGACGCGCTGGGCGAGGTCCACGCGCGCCTCCAAGCTCTCTCGACCGCCTGCAGGGTTTTCAGTTACCTCGACGATATCATGGTCTTCGTTCCGCCAGGGCTCGCGGGCGCAGCCGTGCAGGTGCTCGCGGACATCCTGACGCGGCGCGGCCTTGCAGCCAACCAGACGAAGACCCAGGCCTGGTCCGCTGGAGGGCGCGGCCACATGCCTGTCAGCGTCCAGGAGCGCTGGGTGGACCACCTCACCTGCTTGGGCAACGCGGCCCCCTGGCTTGAGCAGGAGAGGAGAGGGGGGGGGAGAGGGGCAAGGAAGAGCGGCCGTCCACGCCGGGCTAGACGGCGCCACGGCTGTTGCGAAGGCAGCCGCGTTTGCTGCCCGCCTGCAAGAGCTGCGACAGGTAGGCCTCCGGGCTGAGAGCGCCTTCGCTCTCCTCCTGACCTTCGCTCGCGGATGCGTCGCACGCCGCCTCCGCGCCAACCTGCAGGGCGACTGGGCAGAGCAGCTGGACCGAGTCCTCTCCAGCTGCCTGGAGCAGCTTGCTTGCGCGCCCTTGGACGCCCAACAGCGCCTCCAAGCGACCCTGCGACTTGCCGACGGCGGATGTGCTCCCCCATCGGCTACTCCGACGGCGCCCGCCGCCTACGCCGCCAGCTGGGCTCTCTTGCTCCACGATGTCATGACCTGCCTTGGAACCAACTCGCTAGAGGAATTCTGAGCCCACTGTCCGCGGACGCAACGGGCGCTCGACCAGGCGGAGGCGGCGCCCCGGGCGGCCGACGTACTCCAGGCCCCCTTCGATTGGACAGGCTGCACCGCAAAACCTCAGCCCACGCTACAGGGCACTGGGCCAGAGCATCCTCCGCGGCGAAAAGAGCGAAGCTGCTGCAGGCGTGCGACGAGGACCACCGCCTGCGTTTGAGGGAGAACGGGGGCACCGGAGCTGGCAGCTGGCTTCCCCCGCGCCAGCCAGAAGGCCCCCGCCAGCCAGACGCGCATTTCTGCGGCAACCTAAAGGGCTGGCTCAGCGCCCCAGTCTGCCCGCCTGGGTCTCGCTGTCAGCACCGCCGCCAGGGCGTGGGCCTGCAACGAGCCCCTTGGCCCGCGCGGCTGTCGCGCGGTCGAGTGCGAGGTGGGCGCGTCGCGCAACAACCGCCGCAATGGTTGCCGCGACTGGCGCTCAGCGAAGCGCGAGGAGCTCGCTGGCTTCGCGGCGCCCGCGGAGCAGGCCGCCCCAGCCTGGAACCGCCGCCGCCCCCGCGCGGGCGAGCTCCAACAGGCAGTGATCGACCTGTCCACTAGTGGCCCAGCCACCAGCCGCCAGATCTTCATCGACTGGGGCACCACCTGCGTACGCTCAACCTACGCTCCGCGCAGGGGTGCCCTGGCCGAGAGAGACGGGTTGGCGGACGCCCAGGCGGTGGAACAGACGCGAGAGCGCTACCCTCCGCGCGGATGAGAACTGGCCCCCCTAGTCTTCGGGGCGGGGGGGCGGCCCGGCGACGAAGCAGCCAGCTTCGTCTGCAGATGCGGGGCCAGCTTTGATGGCGCCGACCGCTCCGAGCTGTTGGGCGGCGTCAGGGGGCAAATCAGCAGGACCTTCCAAACAG